GCGCATGTTCCTCTGTGAGGCGTGCTGTCTGTTCGACCGAATCCAACTCCATACCGAGAAAAGAGATCTTCTGCGTCGGGGAGAGCTTGCTCTTTTCCCAGTTGACCCGAAGACCCAACCAGCTGAGGTGCCGGAGCACCAGGTCCCGGGACTGTGCTAGTATAAGCCAATCGTCGAGATAGTTGAAGATGCAAACACCCTGCTCTCTGAGGGGAACAAGAGCCCCCTCCACAACTTCCGTGAAGACACGGAGAAACAGGGACAGCCCGAAGGGCAAGGACCTTGTACTGATATGCACGTCCTTTGAACGTGAACCACAGAAATGGCCTGTGTCGAAGGATCGACACATGAAAGTACGCATCCTTCAGGTCGATCGCTGCAAACCAATCTCCGGAACGGATGCACCCGAAGATGTGTTTCTGCGTCAACATCTTGAACGGTAACTGGTGAAGGGCCCGGTTCAAGACACGCAGATCCAAGATTGTTCGTAACCCACCGCCTTTCTTGGGTACAATGAAGTAGATAGATGGATAATTTAGATAATTTTTATTTGTCCTCAGAGAGGAAATTCATTTTCACAGATACAACACAAGGACAAGTACCTTACAAGTACATACAAACTCGTCACAATACATTCACAAAAAAAAAAGGAAAAACAAGACTGTAAGACGATGGCTAATTTCCTATGTGTTTAAAGCACGTGTTGCTGTAGGAACAAAACTCTTACTGAAGTTAGTCCTCCTACACATAGGTAGTCTATACTTACGGCCAGATGGGAGAAGGATAAAATACCGATGGAGTGGGTGATCTGGGTCATTTAGGATTATATGTGCTTTCCGAATCATAGCTGAAGTAACACACTCTGATAACTTTGAAGTAGGAATACCAATAATCCTACTAGCTAAATGAGGTATCTTTAAAGTTTGTTCCTATTAACAGCTGTAAGCATATGAAAAAAACTAATGGCACCATACATAAGAACGGGCTCAATAATACTCCGATACAGGAGAAGGAGACGAGGCTGAACAGACAGCTGCAGTAAGTAGGGGCTGTAAAACCCCGTCTTCATATCGGCTGGAGGGACCGGCTCTATCGCGTCCTTCTCCAGTAGGACTGCGATCTCCGCACGCAAGACAGGAGCATCGGCCGCCTTCACTGCCGTGGCCGAGGCTCATGGTCCGAAGAAGCCAGCGAGACGGGCTGGGTAGCGCTAGCCAGGCACCCAGATACCATGCAAGCGGGACCAGCAGAACCACCACCGTACCCGCAGTGGGGCAGCGAGGTGGAACTCAGGGACCCAACTCGGACGGCTCGTGGGCGGACCGAAGAGGGGTCTGAGTGTGCGGTGCAATGCTTACCTGGTTCCACGGTTTGGCAGAGGGTGCATGAGTAGGGTCTGTGATGACGCTCTCGAACCGCCCGCTGCTGTCTGCTGGCGAGAGAGGAGGATGAGTGTGGTCCGGTGTTGGTCCGTCCGCAACTCTCCGTGCCCTCTTGGGACCCAGAGACAGAGAAAACCGCTCTCTCATCGAGATTTTTGGAAACCAGATTCTCCACCCGGCCCTCCTCCGGTGGAGGGAGAGGTGCATTCACCATCCCCCAAAGAGCAGTTCCCTCTCTCTCTGCGTCGCCCGTCCCAGGGCCTCTTGCTCTTCGGCTCACCGCCAGGTTTGCCTACGCACAGCTCCACGGCGCTGCTTGCTCGAGGCTGCTGCGGATGCAGCACGGGAGCGGGGGTTGACGCAGGGGGCCGCCCTTGGTGAAGAGCAGACGATGGCGCTGCGGCCGGCGGACGGGTGGAGGCAGCAGCTGCCCGCCGGGGCAGGATGTGATGAATTGTCTCAGTTTGCTTCTGTGCAGCCGAGAACCATACTTTGTCTGCGTCCCTCATGTCGGCCAGACACAGCCAGAGATGGCGCTCCTGGACCACAAGTGTGGACATCGCACGGCCCAGGGAACTCGCGGTGACCTTCGTCGCTCGGAGCGCGAGGTCAGTAGCAGTTCAGAGCTCTTTCAGAACTCCCTCTTGCAGGTCCTTCAGTGCCTTGGCCTGATGAACCTGCAGTAACGCCACGAGCCACCCAGAGAAACCAATTGTTCAACCTCGAGGGCTCGGGACGCGGTGGAGGTTTCCACTCGAGCTCTATCCTCTTGGTGTCCTTCGAAAGCATAGCCGACATCTCTGGATCCGATTCAGGCGTTGCCACCGTCCCGGACGGCGGTAGCGCAGCCGAATCTTCCTCTCCAGAGAGCTCTCCCTCCCCTCAGACCGCCCATGCTACTGCCCGAAGTAGCCCTCGCCTGGCTACTGCCAGGACAAACACTAGATCGCGGCAGAGGCAATGGAGCTCCGCCCCCCTCGAGGTAACGGAGCCTGGCCCGCAGCTCCGAGATGGTCATCTTCCCGCAATGGGAACATGACATCCGTCGTCTTTATAAAGACGCACCCATGTAAGCTCTTTTGGAGAAATAGGCTCTTTCAGTGAAATGCTCTTTTAGGTACTGAGATGCACAGGGGAAATGGCCACTTGCAGCACGACGGGGTAGTGCAGCCTGAAGTGCGCAACCCACTCGACACAGGAACGACCACCGCTGAAGCACTGTCCGCCAACACAAAAAGCTCCCTAGAGCGCGTTGAACTCGTCGTCACAAACACAGATATTGGTAGGGGCAGAACGATGTTATCGCTCGGCTTTGAAGCAAAAAGCTGTTATGCGTTGCACCGGCTGCCTTTTTATGCTCACGCTGTGATCAGCGGCAGCTGGATGCAATCATCGCATGCCAATGTGCATTGGCTCGTTTAGTTTACACTCAAAGTGGATTGGTTTTATCATTCATCAGCTGGAAAAAAAATCATTCTGAAAGTGATTCCAACGATATCGTTTCTCTGTGCCTTTATCGTTATAGCTGTGGTGTGGACTCTGCTATTCTTTAATATTGAGAATGATTTTTAGAACCTTATCTTTATCGTTATCTTTAGTTATCGTCCTTGGTGTGAACAGGCAAGTAAATGTGATTTAAGAGTTCATTTAAAAGAGCCTAAAGAATATGCTAGTCTTAGATGGTACGTAGTGGTACGTTATTCAACACTTCAGAGCCACCACTGTAAATGCCTGGTCGCCACTTAATTTCAGTCTGGTCCTAGGAATGCCTAAGGTCATCTGACTTGCAGACCTGACTGTCTAGGTGGTTTATGTAAAGAAGATGCGCTAAATATGCAAATGATGTAATGCTTTGTACACAAGAATCTATCATTTAAAATCAATTCTATACTGAATTGGTAACCGAGGCAGTAAGTAATACATGCTGTTTCTTACGAGTACCTGTGAAAAGTCTGGCAGCAACGTTCTGTACCAGTTGAAGATGATATAACAATGATTGACTAACACCCACATACAGTCAACAATAATAATCCAGTCTTATAGAAATGAAAGCATTAATAATCTTTTCAAAATCACTAGAAGAAAAAAATGGTTTTAACTTTTCTATTGATCTCAGATAGAAAAATAGCAGCATTTGACCACAAAATTAATCTCTTTATTATTGATCTATTTCAAAGAATTGTTAAAGTGTACACCACAATTCTTTACCACTGATTTACAGAAGAGGGCCAAATTTCCCAAGTCGAAGAAATTTTGGGTGTCGGGAACGCCAAACTAGATTAATTCTGTTTCAATTGCTTTCATTCGATCTCAAAATATTTTTTTAGCATTTAACGTTGTATATAACCTGTTAACCCGCACCGGCGTGTCTGTGCTATTTATTACCTTTGTTTTAAAACAATATTCAATCAACTATCATAAACTATATATCATTTGACAGCTAAAACACTCAAGATCCATGTTCTGAGCTTGTTTTTTAAATCAATACAACAGAGAGGAAAGGGTTTCATCGCCTATAGTTCTGGTCAGCTCGGACTATTCCAAGAAACACCAGCACACATTTCAAGTTAAGAGTCCACTCTTCAAAATGCATCCCACTTTTTAATCCAAAACAACGAAAAAATAGGGGGAAAAACGAAAGATCATCCTTTGTTTACATGAGCGATTCGAGTTATAGTTGTAGACAGCGTCCTTTTTCAAAGAAATATCGATTCCAGCTTTGAAATGGCATTTGTTTCATATAGAATAGTCTCTTCCGAGCAAAATGAGCCCTCCCAGTCTCGCTCCTTCAATCACAGGCGATGTTATAACCCAGAACAGAGACGGAGTCGCTGACAGGTTTAGCGAGGTGCCAATCTGCGC